ACTGCAGGTTGTGGGAGCGGTTTTAGCTGCTCAGCCGGAACCACACCTTTGGGGAGCGGTTTGTGTTGTCGACACACAAATCACTCCCTCAAGCTGCGATTTTTGTGTCAGCAAAAATATCCCCGGCACCCGACATGTTGCCATGCATGGGTTCACAGACGTGGGGCTGCATGGCAGATGAAAACCGCCCCCTCCCCCAGCGGTTTCAGTGATGATTTTGCCTATAAAAGGCAGCCCCGAAAACCTCAGCTCTTCACCTATCTCCTTATTCTTCTTCAATTAACTGTTGTGAACCCTACTGCGTTTAGAGTTTTTTGCGATTCAGCTTACTTCGTAAATTTGTTTTGTATAACTTTTTGTTTTAATTTGTGATTTTTATGGTATTAACTAAATTACGGTTTTATTGCAGATGGCATTCCGAAATTTCACGCTTGGGTTACTGCGGAATGGTTACACGGAAGAGACCGAAAAGGGGGTACGTTACGTCGATGGTAATTTTCATAAAGTGAAGGTCGCTACGAGACCAAACCTTGAAGAGCTCCGTCAAATGTGTACTGAGGTTACTTGCAAGGATGGCACAAGGAGAGTTGATCGTATGATGTATCGATATCTAAACAGATATGGAGGGTCATTGTGGCACGAGGAATTCCTCATAACCACTTAGGCGGAAGTATGCCATGGTTGAATTTTTTAACGCCAATAATCTTTTCAAAGCAAAGATGTTCGTTTACACAGAGACGGTCGAAGGCGGTGGAGGTCATTCTGGAGATGGCCAAACATCTGGTTACCATGGTGGATGTGGAGTATATGAAAATCATTCCTATCAAGGTTAACATGATCCTCATTCCTACCATGAGTACCAAGAAGGAGGTGAAGGTTATCATCAATCATTCTCATCATATGAAGAAGAATTCCAACGGTACCATGATAACCAAGAAGAAGGCTACCAGTACCAACCCGAGTACAACTTCCATTCAGGCGGTGATAGTTTTCACAACTACCATTACAGAGCTGATGAAGGTTCATTTCATGATCTAGATCAGATGTAAGATGTCCTACCAGCACCAGATAGTGACCCCTCCGACGAAAAAGAAGAAGAAGGCAATCTCAGTGCAGACAACTCCGACCCTCTAGAAGGTGTTGATGATTCAGGCCCAGAGTCGTCGAGGGGATTGTTGAAATCTCGGTCGAGGATCGTAGTATGAGCTCGGGCAGGGCTCACAGTAGGAGCTCGTGCGGGGCTCGTAGTAGGGGCTCGGACGGGGATCTTGTTGAGATGCACTCGGACCAGCACCGTGTGTCACATCCAAAGGAGGAGGCACTTTCCACGCCTCAATCGGCGTTACATTGGGTACGTTCACCCCTTCGCGGTGCTCTGGTTTGGCCTTTTTGGTGTGGCGGTGGCGGGTTAGGTACATCAGTAGATACCCGAGGTGTCTCCGTTGCGGGCATAGGCGGGTATCTATGATGATCATGACCCCTCGCTCTTACACATCCAAGAAGACTATTTGTTATCCTCCTCGGAAAGCTCACTTCTCCACTGCCAAAAGAATCCCTAGCATGAGTCATATCTTTGATACGCTCGAGCCCATCGACTTGAATCACATAATGAAACAAAGTTAGCAATCTAAAAATTCATGTTTTGTTGATAAAAAATGGGAATAATTGAATTAATTATACGAAATTACTTACCAATGAACCATCAGCCGCACCCTCCTGACTAACGTACTGATCCGGTAGTGCCCGGTACTGATCCATGTATGGGTCACGATACCCCATTCTCTCCTGAGCAATTGGAGTGACAATATCAAAATCTTGCCTGCCATTCCACATCCGAATGAATTTCTTCAACTTCTTAGGCCAATCATAAGCTCCTTGGCGACCATCTCGGTGGTGGAAAACCTATTGACTTTTGGGAACTTCCAGAGGCATGCATTGCTCCCAGACCAAATTGACGTAAGCATCGATCCGACAGATATCACTCCACAATATGGTGACAAATGAGGGACTCTCGCACACCATCGATATTCATGCCCAGGGAATTGTTCCAAATGCCAATTAATGATGTTCTCACGGTAAGGATCGTGTATGATCTACAAAAGAAATGACCACCTAAAGTTAAACGTAGTTGTAACATACATGTCGTTAATAACAAGGGAAGAAGTTCGAATTATTATAGTTACCTCTCCTTCCCAAAGTCTCTCTATCCTCCTACGATACTCTGTCAACTTGTGCTTGGAAAGGTTGTCGCATGTTGAGGCTCCAACCCACCTTATTAATAAGGACAATAATAAAATGTTATAACCAAATAACTCACTAATGGGTTATGGAAAGCATGAGTAGGTATGAGTAGTTTACCTACAACATAAGCTTCGAGTATGAGGGAATGATTGGGACCCCAATCCTTGTCGGGACGTTTGACCGGTGCAATTCATGACAAATGCTGCCATGCCCAAAACTGGACAATGAATATTGTCCGGCCAACCTCCTTCACAGCTTTGAGAGATGCATTACAAAAGTGGTGGTAGATATGAGCTAGACAAGCGGACGCCCAACTCTAATTCCCCATCGCATCCCCATCACCAAGGAGGATCGTTAGCCACCCACAGCTAATTAAATTGTTGGATTTCTTGGGGAAGAATACTCCTCCAATCATGCCTATGAGATTGACACGAGCATATCTATCTTCTCCGCCTCTGAACTTTCCTCGGTTAATTGGATCCCACCTTTTGCAGGGTCGTGTCGGTTCCTGATCTCCCTAGTCAACCAAGTGATTGATACTTGCCGCTTCCTCAATAGTGCGTTGCGATCCTCCGCATCAATGCTTCCCTTGACTGGTACTCGGATGCCCAAAACGCTATGGATCAAATGCTGCCAATTGGTCATCCCGCCAACATCAGGATGTGCACAATCGCTCACACATACTACATTGTCGTCGATGGGCAGATGGGTTAGGATGGCGACATCCTTTAGTGTGATGGTGCGCTCTCCTTCGCGAAAATTGAAGCAATGTGTCTCATTTCGCCATCTCTCCACCAATGCGGTGATGAGTTGACGGTCGATCTTTATCCCTAGGAAGTGCCTAATCGACTTCAACCATGCCCTTTTGAGATATGGCAAGATGATGTCGTTATATGCGAGCACATTGGTCGTACCCCTATAGTGGATTACATGGTATGCATCATAGAAAAAAAATTTAACTTTCCCTATAAGTATATTATAATAAACAATTATAATTTTTTTTATAACAAATAGTTTAAATAAACAATAATTTAATAGAAGGACAATGCACATTGAAACAGTAATAAACTAATAAGCAATAATAAATAATAATTATAACAAAATGTAATCTTTTATAACAAACCGTTTAAATAAATATTTGAAAACATACACATTAAATCCATGACAATATTGTGTAAATCGTATTGGTTGTTTTCAATAACTTAATCGAATACAATGCAACACTCGTTAGACTCTTAGAAGATGTATACATCTTCTTAGAAACACAACCTTTTTGAAAGAAAAATGGAGAATCGCTTAAAATCGATTTTCCCAGGAAATGGGAGGATCATCATAATCGCTTAAAACCACATTTCCTTAGGCATGCATCTCTTTATAAAGAGTCTAGGTAAATGGCGCATTGTATTAGACCAAATCATTGAAAATAATAAATACGATTAAAAAATATCAAGTTTAATTTATAAACCACTAAGTACATAAACCAATTAAAAAAACGACTAAGGAGACTAATCCATGTATGTACCTAGTGATCGTTCCAAACATCTCTTGAAGGATGATTAGGTTGGTCGTACAACACGCTTGGATCAATCGATCCTTGCTCGATATAATATCGTTGGTTGTATATATCGACGTCGTCCCCAACCTACGAGAGAATAACAACATGCCTATTAGTTAGTATATAGATTGATTTTAAAAATTATAACAACAACAAAAAGTTGGTAAAATGAGTACGTACCACTTGATGGTCATCTTGGAAAATACCCTTGTCTTCGTACCAATCATTCACTTTATTAATAAGTCGAACAGAGATTCGACGAGTTTTGAAGGAAAAATCAAAGAAATATTTTCTGATGGCAGATCGAACTTAGTAGCAACCAACATAACACTATTTCCTATGTTTTTTTGGGGGGGCGGGGCGGAGGGATGGATAGAGAGATAATTTTGGAGAGGGATGAATGGGTTGTGGTGTGAAAAAAATGGGAGGGGGAGAGGGGTTTATACAGCACTCCCTCGGGACACAGTTTGCTTTTTCTGAGGCCGAAGACCGCATCCTTGGCGAGCGGTTTGTGATCCCTGACGTGGATCGCTCCCTTGGCATGTGGTTCACCGTTGGATCTCCCTTCGATCGTACGGTTAAAGAAACCGCAGCCCGCTAAAATGGTTCCTCGGCCGCCCTAGCACAAACCGTATCTTCCTTGCGCGGTTTTTGTGTAAACCGCCGCTTTGATGTGCTGTTCATGGAGAAGGGTGCTATTTTTGTAATATTTTTTTTAAAAAGTGCTATGTTTGAATTCTTTCCCCATGACTCTAGGTCTGGCGTGGTTAGGTTCACCTCCCTTTCTAGTGTTTTTAATTTTATTTTCTACTACAATTTTGTACACTTTGTTTAGCACTGTGAGTTGTTGGCTCTTTGATAAATAAAATTTCCGAAGAATATCTATGTTCCAGAACATAAAATATGAATAATGAAATTTTTTTATTTATGGTACTAATTATATATAATATCTTTATGACCACTTTTAGCAACAATAAATCATTATTTGTAAATCATTTATTTGTGTTATATTTATTTCCTATAAAAGAAATATTTTTTTGTTTAGCGCGTACTTATACTCAATAGGGTTTTAAAAATATTTGGCCCGATACGTTCCACTTATAAATCGTGTCGTGCGCGTACTAGTGCTCATGATGACACAACCATAAAGTATTCGTGGCGTGCTAGCCTATGGGCAGCCCGGTCGGTGCCCATGTACACTTTTACCTAACATTTTCTTTTATTGACGAAAAAAAAAAACATAACATTGGCCTGTGAAATTATTATTTATGGAATGAGTTAATTCTTACAAATATCATTTAGTTATGCTGCCACCCAAAATTTGATGGCTCTGTTCGTGTTTGCTTGCAGACTTGCACAACAACTCTTAGGGTGCGCCTATGGTGCCTTGCAAGTTACCGTAACTTGCACTTTTTGGTCGACCTCATTTAGGATTATGTCGACCTAATTTGTTATTTGTGTAAAAACAGTTTCATGGTGCCTACTTTGGAGATTCATATCTTAAAATTGGCTCGATGGTGCCTTGCAAGTCACCGTAACTTGCACTTTTTGGTCGACCTCATTTAGGATTAGGTCGACCTAATTTGTTATTTGTGTAAAAACAGTTTCATGGTGCCTACTTTGGAGATTCATATCTTACAATTGGCTCGATGGAAATTGGAGATTAATGACTTGTTTTGAAGAGAGTTTCCCTCTACACATTGAAGTGCTTGGGAGCTCGATAGGAAGTCCAGAAGATCATTTTTGAACCTGATCAAAAGACTATGCCAAAATTTGAAAAGCCTGAAAATGGCCAAGTATGAGAACGTATTTGTGAAGCCTACTTTGGAGCTCAATTCGAGAAGCATGGATGAGAGTCGAGTCCAGGGGCCTCTACCACATGAATGTATGTATGTTTATTTTTAAAAAGCAAGGCAATGGATGAAAGATTAAATATCAGCATTCGTAGCAACTTCGAGCCTTTTGTTTGAAGCCTTCTAGATATCCAATTTTTCATCCAATGCCTTGAATCTATAGACAAACATACCTACGTTCACGTGGTAGAGGCCCCTGGACTCGAATCTCATTCATGCATATCGAATTAAGCTCCAAAGTAAGCTTCACAAACACATTCCCAGACTTGGCCATTTACAGGCAGTTTCCCAGTTTTGGCATATTATCTTGATCAGGTTCAAAAATAGTCTTTTGTTCTTCCTATCGAGCTCCCAAGTACTTCAATGTGTAGATGGTCACTCCAGCTTCAAAACAAGCCATTAATCTCCAATTTCCATCAAGCCAATTGTAAAATATGAATTTTCAAAGTAGGCACCATGAAACTGTTTTTGCACAAACAACAGATTAAATCGACCTAATCCTAAATGAGGTCGATTGAAAAGTGCAAGTTACGGTGACTTGCAAATCACCGTAGCAAAGTCCCAACTCTTAACATTCATACAAGCGATGAGGATAAGAAAGGACTTCCAAGGAAACATATCAGGACTTGCACTAAAAGCCTTGTATCTTGATTAAGGTTGGGAAACCAGGTTAAGTCATTGAGCCGGTCAAGCAAGGAGTTTTAGGTTTAATGGTTTGATTGGGGTCCAGCCGGTTTAAGCCGGTTTAGACATTTTCTAAATATATATACAAATAAGATAGTAACTAAGGATTTAATAACTTAATTGAAATTTATCTTACATGAATCTATTAAAACTTATTTTTCACAAAATAAATCTACCTAACCCTCCATGACCCATCCACCATCTCCCTTCATTTGTTCCTCTTCCTCTCTTCCCCCTCTCTTCTTCTCCCTCTTTAGGGGGCAGATCGTAGGACTTTCTGAAGATCATTTTGAAGCCATACTTAAATCAGATCGGGTCCAACCGAGGGTTCGATAAGGGTTTAACAACCTTGATCTTGATACAACAAACAAACAATATCCACCATGTGAACACTACATTTTTTGAGAGATGTATTCCCAATCAAACAATCACACATGCTAATGGTGTACTTCCCCTATGGTATAATTTACAAATGTAGCCTTCCACAGCGTGGTATAGCAAGCAAACCTTTTTCATCAAAATGCTGGTTGATTTTCCAACAGCTAACATATCTCATCTCCAACCCAGTTGTCCTTCTCCTTTGGCCCAGTTGGTCCTTCCTCACCATAAAGCTCCGTCGGAAACAACTCGATGAGGTTCTCTACCGAAAACCGAACAAAAAACGGTAGTATATTGATTATCTTATCGATCTCAGACCGAGAGTCGTACACAATAGTAGGACCCCATTCTCTCATGTACTGCAGCCAGCTTGGTTCTTTAATGACTTCTTCTCCAAGATATTCGGCTGCAATGAGTTGATACTTAATGCTGGAATCGATAAAGTAATCACTCCGAGCAGTATCATTTCTCACGCCGACTCCAAGTTTCGTTGCACCTTGAAGAAACATACCCTCGTGGGGAAAGCTAGCATGGCCATGCTTCGAAGAATACACAATCGGCTTATTACTACCTTTAATGAACTCCACTTCGGAGGCATCCACCCATCTCCCCCCACTGTGCTCGGAGTAAAACACTTGCCATAGCTCTCCAGTGAAGTTGTTGATACGAAGAGTGACATGTTCCCAATCGCCCACATGCTGCCCTAGCCTCGACATTGGTAAGCTCATGAGCCCTATCTTGAGTGTCACTGGTCCATTGAAAGGACAGAACACCCACATTGCTACATCGGTGAAGGACCCCCCAAGTGCTGGCTTCACATGAACATAAAGCTCTGCACTCTCCAAGTTTCCATTTTTCAAACTGCTGCTTTCACCATCATCGAGGGGTAAATCAATCCAATATTCACCGTCGTTTACACCTCCACTTGGCAAGTTTGACCCCATGTAGTTGATCGGTTGACCTTCCTTCCAATCATCTTTGTACAGGAGTGCTCCGTTTTTGAAGAACCACTGCACCGAAGAAGGGAGATAATCTTCTTCAGGATGGAAGTACATTGTAGGGCCATAGTGTTGGATCAAGGAATGAATCTGGTTCAGGTTTGGCATTGCAGATAGGGTACTGTCGAGATTTTTTAAGCAAGCTATGCTTGTGAGAGCTTCTTCTGAACTCGAAATTGTACCTTGACAGTAAAATGTTCCAACAGAGACACCTTTACCGAACATTCCCATTGCACATGGCTTAGTGGTCCAAATCTGGAATTGCTGGTTAGAGCCGCTTTTCGAATCCATGGAGAAAACGAGATCACAAGTCTCGCAGTGTTCTGTAAGGTCTGCTCGAACGCACCTCACTTCATCCACATCTGGCTGGTTCGAGTCATGTGTAACTACTATTCCCATGACCTTATAACCTGTTGGTGGATTTGGAAGCCAGAAATAGCCATTGTCACCATAGTGTGAGCCAGTGCTCCAAATCAGCGAGTAGTTGATTGGCTTTCTCAATGGTGGAGGGTCCGATGACAACGATTGAGGGTGGTTGATTTGACGAGCAACAAGGACATAACCTCTCAGTGGGTGCTGATCATTGGGGTGGCAGTAGTAACCAAGGGAGTGAAAGCCATCAGGGATCCCAACAGGTTTGTAAAACGAGACTCCTAATTGTGAATTCCCACCCAATTGGATGCATCTCCAAGCACTCTCGAATTTGGTTACTTGGATAACCTCTAGCTCTCCCAAATTCATTCTCCCAGTACCAAATCCCTGACCTAAAATAACATCATCAAATTAAAATAACATCATCAGGTTAAAAGCATGCTTTCTACCCAAAAAAAAAAAATGCTACTTTTGACAAATTCCCAGTTTGCAAATCCAACTACTCAAGGCAAAAACATGGTCAACCAATTCAGACTTGGAAGGAAAAGAAAAAAAAAAGTTCCGCAGATTATTGAAATTGAGTGAAGTAGGGAAGGGGGGAACCTTGAGGCCATTGAGGGAGAGGAGCAGGTAAGGAGAAAGGCTGTGGCTCAGGAAGACTGTCAAAGTCAACGGCTTGTTGTCGTTGATTCCAGTAAAAGCAATCGCAGCCAAACATCCTATTATCTCTCTGCAACTCTTGTTGTGATAATCTTCTGATGCCCCAACCCAAAACAGGAAAACCCCACAAGAACCAGAAACCCCTTTTCCTGCCAAGCTTTGAATCGTGTCTCTGTTTTCTGGAAGAAAGAACGACAGAGAAAAAAAAAAAAAAAAAACAGGAAGAACACCCGCCGCCAAGTTCTTACCTCTCTCGCTCTCAATGAATTCCAACTGGTGGTCTAGCTGCAGAGACACTGACAGAAAGGTGTGCGAAGAGCGGGGTTACTGCTCTTTCACTCACAACCAACTTAGGTCTCTGGTTTTCTGCAGGAGAAGCTACCCATGAAGAAGCAGGGTTCTGAATCCGAAATTGGTGCGGAATGGAGAGCTCCAGAGGCAGTGGTTAAAGCTAGCTAGCGAGCGAACGGCGGCTATGAAGAGGAGATGACGAAGTAAAAGAGGAATTGGGTTTTCGTGAGGGGTTGGGGGGATTTTCCTTTTTCTTGAAGAAGAGGTGGAGTGGAAGGAAGAGTGGCAAATGGGCAACCAACAACAACCCCAACGCAACAAACGAAGAAAAGTATACAGCTTTTCATTTATTTATTGACCATCTTCTTTCTTTTCTATAATAATTGCTTTTATTTTGTTTTGTTTTGATTTTTGAGGAAGGGTTCAGCAATAACAGCCACAGGCAACTGCTTTCTCTTTACTTTGATGGGTTGGTCCCACCCTAAAGGCCTATTTGCGAAAAAAATATCCCCGCTCTACTTCTTTCGCTCTCGCGCCAAAACGGTTCCATGATCCACTGATGGTTGTCACGCCTAGGGATGGCAACAAAACCCGAACCCACAGGTACCCACCCGACCCAACCCAGTCAATGCGGGTAAAACCCGTGTTGACGGATTTTGGGCCGGTTCGGATTTAAACCCGCTACACTATTCACCGGATCGGGTTGGGTTTGGGTTTAGGTAAACCCGCCTCATGGGTACCCGCCCACACATATATAATTACTTTTCCGGTATATTTAATATTCTAAATAATATATCTTTCTTAAATAACTAATATTCTTTATGTTTTGTGGAGACACGTATAATTTGTTCTTTCTAATTGTTTAGAATGAAGTTGATATTATGAAGTGGAGAGTGAAGAAACTTAGTTGACGAGGAAGAAGCTTTCAATTAATCTTATCAACAAAGAATATTACGCCTTTCACTATATGACATCCACGCCACCTGGCACTTCCATTGGCTGGCCTTTTTTTTATGGAAGGGTAATTTGGTTCATGTCACAAACGCTGCCGTTTATATTTGGCTAGCATCATACGACCAGCTTTGGTGGCCGCTCCTTCCGTAACCCCTATGGCGTCCTCCTTAAACTCACGCCTGTTCATTGTCTTCTCTCCACCATAAGCATCAGACCCCCATTTTTGTTCGCACCTTCCACTCCTACGCTCCCGTGTTCAGATGCAGCGTCAAGAGAAATGGTTTTAAATTAAAACCCCCAAAATCTCAACCTCTGTATGCGTCCGTTTCTGCCGAATTGCGTCATTGTCGCTGTCAACAGAATAAGGTAGGCTGTGACCTCGCTCCGTGGAGATTAATTGTTGTTTCTGTTAATTCTCCGCTGCCAGCATAAGCATCGAATTCGAACCCCAACTTTTTTTGCCCTCTCCACTGTTACGTTCCGTCATCAGCAGCGGCTTCAAGAGAAATGGTTCTTTATTGAAAATCCCAAAGTCTTAGGCTTCGTACGTTGCTGCTGCAGTTCGTCATCTACATTGTCAACAGAATAAGGTACTCCGGTCGCACATTCAGCCGTCTCTATTGTCTGTCGTGGGTCTTAATTGGTATTGAGTTTGCTCTCTTTTGCTGTACGGTAATCCTACCTACGGCCAATTGTAATTTCTGGTGGTTTGTTCCTGCTCGACAGTGTCAAGTAGTCAATCGATTTAGGATTTTGCATTTCGCTACTGCCAGGCCAAAAAGCTATAGTGATGTTTGAGTGAGACAGGTGGGTCTGCCGACAAAATTCTTTCGGTAGAACTCCAGGCTTTGCAATGGCCCGTAAGCCTAGATCATCTCAGGCCTCCACTTCCCACTCAATCCCACCTGATAGTCAACCAATTGGACAATGTACACTCCTCTTCACGTTCTTAATGCATTGCTTGAGATTGAGTTTATCATTTTTTCTCCCTATCCCTAAATCCAATTGTGGGTGCAGGGGAGGGAAGAGCACTACTACGCCAGCCTCATCCACCGACAACAAATGAAATACCTCAAGAGAGACAATGACTTTCAGCAGGTAATTTCTTTCAGTAGTATTTTTCATTGTTGGTGAACTTTTTCTTATTTAACAAAATGGAAATCATCGTGCAGTTATAAAATCGTTAAAGGCTCAAGTGAAAGAAATTGATCGTGTCTTTGCTGCTTCCTCCATGACCAGACGTCAATTAAAAAACTTACCATTGGGACAACAAAGAATCATATGTACTTATTCTTTGACTGATTTTTTTATGTTATTCATATTCACAGCTCTTACCGTCGTTATGAAATTATCCACGTAATAATCGGGTTTCCACGATATTCACCCTTTGTATCTTGACTTCTTTGTTTTAAAGCTCATGATATGGTTGTTGCTCGGCTGCGATCAAAACATGCAAGGGCATTGCGCCGTATTAGTATCTGTGAGAAATGCAAAATCAAAGATGTTCAGAGACCCTTCTACCGTCATTCAGGTATATATAATATATAATTGATTCCAAAATAAGAAGTGTATCACTTTATGTTTTATACAGAACTTAGAAAGAGGAAGACAATGCTATGGATGTATATCTGACCCATTATTTAGAGGGTACCTAACATGTTAGATTTCCCATTTCAGGGTATCCATGTGTTCAGCCATACAACATTGGGGAACCGTCATGTATATGTGAATTTTGTGGTGCTGTTATGTGGAGGGAAGAAAGCATTTACAGAACTAGGAGCCAAGTCACTCCACAATTTTCATTATGCTGTAATGCCGGAAAAGTGAAGTTACCTCCTCACCGCGAGCCTCCTGAATTCCTCAAGCAACTATTGGAATCAAACAATTTAGTTGCAGGCCATTTCAAGGAATTCATTCGACCATACAATGGAATTTTCTGTTTCATATCTCTTGGAGAGAAGGTGAATCGAGCAATTAATGATGGTCATGGTGTTTACGTCTACTCCATATCTGGCCAAATATACCATGATCACTCATTATTATTGAACTTTTGATTTTCTTTTTAGTAAATGCGATTAGGATTAAGGAAAAAGAAGATTTGTTTTAAGGTAAATGCTACATAATAATTATTTGAATTTTGCTCTGTGTAAATTTATTTTGCGTGGTTAAGGAAAAAACAGAGGCTATCTAAAGTTGTTTAACTCCTAAATGAGATAATGCTTGCGAATTGGATTTTGAGATTATAAAGATGATATATCGTTGTGGCGTGGATGTATGGGAAGAGGTTCCTTCGGAATAGGTTTTTTCGCATTAGGGTTTTACGTTAAACAGATAAACCAAGCATCAACCTTCAAAAGTTTTAGAATCTTAATTTCACTGTGATTTCGGCAAACATGAAGTGGAAGAGAGACGGGAAATCTTGGCAAAATACAATCAATTTATATTGTTTTAAATTCTTTTAATTTTCAAATTAGCATGTCTAATTTTTACATTAAATTTTGAAAGGTAAGATCGCATGTTTAGTCATAGGTTAAACAATAATTTGATCCATATCGTATTGACTCGATATCGTATCTACACAATATATTATGCACTTCACTCTATGTCATTGTTGCCACCTTCCACTTTGATTGGTTCTCCTTATTTGGTGGAAGGGCAACTTTGACAATTTTTCAAACACTCAAGGATCACTCATTATTATTGAACTTTTGATTTTCTTTTTAGTAAATGCGATTAGGATTAAGGAAAAAGAAGATTTATTTTAAGGTAAATGCTACATAATAATTATTTGAATTTTGCTCTGTGTAAATTTATTTTGCGTGGTTAAGGAAAAAACAGAGGCTATCTAAAGTTGTTTAACTCCTAAATGAGATAATGCTTGCGAATTGGATTTTGAGATTATAAAGATAATATATCGTTGTGGGTGGATGTATGGGAAGAGGTTCCTTCGGAATATGTTTTTTCGCATTAGGGTTTTACGTTAAACAGATAAACCAAGCATCAACCTTCAAAAGTTTTAGAATCTTAATTTCACTATGATTTCGGCAAACATGAAGAGGAAGAAAGATGGGAAATCTTGGAAAAATACAATCAATTTATATTGTTTTAAATTCTTTTAATTTTCAAATTAGCAGTCTAAAGCTTTCAATTAATCTTATTGTTTATAGATGTTTATCTTTAATTTTGAACAATTTGTATTGAACATTTGCGGTTTGCTTGTATGCCCTAGATTGGTGTTTTTTGTATGATTAATTTGTATGAGAAAATTGATGTTAAACTTTTATTTTGAAAGAAACTTGTTATTGTAAATTTTTTACCGCAAAAACCCACGGGTACCCATGAACCCGCGGATACCCAGCGGGTTGGGTTGGGTTTGAGTTTTTCAAACCCAACGGGTTTTACCCCGGGTTTTTTTGGCGTATAAACCCATGGGTTTGGGTTTGGGTTTGACAAAACCCGTCCCAACCCGACCCATTGCCATCCCTAGTCACGCCGGTCGCGTGCCATCAGTTGTACCGGGTTCAACCAATACCGGTCATAAAATTGGTGTGACACCACCGGTATGATCGGCATGATCGATATACAAATCTAAGTAATGAATTTAATTGATAAAAATTATTTTATTATTTATTTTATTAGTATAAAAGTTAAATATTGATGTTATTTGTTGGATTCAAGTATAAATGTTTAGGTATTGACGTTAAATGTCATGTTTAAATATGAGTATTTACAATTTTATTTGTAATATTGACTGGCATGAACCGACACAAATCGGTATGTGCCACTGGTTGAACCATTCCACTTGCTAAACCGGCATACTAGCATAAACCGGTTTGACAACCTTGATTATTCCACTCTAACAACAAAACAAGCAGAAATAATAGTTTTTTTCTTTTCACAAACTTACTTGTCGAGACGTCGCCTTTCAGGAGCATAGCGAGTCGAATCTCAGAGCCACGTGTAGAATGAAGAATGGACAATCGTCGACCAATGGGAGAGCTTCATTTCTAACGGCCTAAAGAGCGGGTTGGATCCGGTCCTTAAGCCTCATTGCTTAAGGAGGAGGTTGTTAAATTATTTTTATTGGCTGATACTAGATTAGGTAGTTAATAATGGTTAGTAGTTAATATTTAGTTTGAATAAATAAGATATTATAAAAATATAATTAATATTACTCATTAATGATACTCTTTCTCTCTCTCCCTTGATCTTCTCCATAACCCTCTATCTCCACTACAATAAAAAGGAAATTCGAAATTAATTTAATTAAATATTATTATTTAATATTTAATAAATTCGAACTTAATAATTTTTTACTTTTTAAAATTAAAATTGAAAATAAAAAATATATGATCTCTCACTTCGTGGCAACTTGCAATGCATTATTAACATTTTGCAATGACATTATCAGCATTTATGAAATGAATCGTTATTATTATATCTCATCACTATTAACGATTTCAATATATTTATCAATTGTTTACAATTACATTATTAACAATTTTGGATCAATTGTTACCGTTTTATGGTTTCGTCATCAACGCCTATGAATGAATCATTAAAGTGATGTAACATTGTCATTAATAGTTTGAATAACAATATCATTGATTTACAACATATTTAGTGCTAATGATTCACATTTTCACATCATGTTTATAACTATCTAGTCATGGCCTCTTTCAATGATTTTTAGTGACATTATTAACGTTTTATGATCAATTAATATTGTTTTACATTATCATTCTCAATGATCATAAATCACAATATTGATTTTCAATATCTTGGGCACTTGTGACATAGTGCACCTGTGTGATTCAGTCAAACAAACATTGTCAAAAAAAAATATTAGCTCAAGCAAACCAACATTAACGCCTCAACACCAAACTGCAGAAGATCCGATTGATGAATCTCGGGAATGAGTCCCCCAATCTACCACTACCGATTGATGAAGCTCTAACAACCTAATCAGATTCTATCTATCTCAGGTTGCAGCAGAAATCAAGAAAAGATGATTAGACTTCAATTGACTCAATGAATCATGCATCAATCAATTATAACCAATCAGTATAACAATCCCAAGTCATTACAATCAAGATCCCTAACACATGGAACTAGGGTTCTTCATATCCAAGTGAGAGAAGGTTCTACTCCATAGAGAGAGAGAGGAAAACAGAAATCAGAGTAGTCATACTCATAAAGATGAGGATATTCTGCTCTGGAATGTCGATCTTCACTCCTGGAGATGCAATCTGGGCTTCAATGGTGAGAAATCCACTCCAAATAGCTCCTAAGGTTTGTTCTTTGCACTTTCTCTCTCTAAAACTCTGTTTTTTGCTCATATACTCGATCCCCTCTCCTTTGGCTTGAATCTGCCTCAAAAGCCCGATTCTGGGCAAAGCACGGTTGAGGACACGGTCGTGCTTTTCTTTTGTCCTTCCGTGTTCTCGACACGTGTTAAAAACACGCGCGCTTTAGCCTCAAACACGGTCGGGCCCCAGGATTGACACGGCCGTGCTTTTCTTCAACTCTACCCGTGTTTTGGACTTCGCATCCGCCTCCAAGAGCAACCTCTCAGCATAAAAAAAAACACGGTATGAGACACGGTCGTGTTTTTCTCTAGTCTAGCCCGCGCTTTGCTTCTTCCTCAGTTCAGCTCTCGCACATAAAAACACTGGCGTGCTCATCTGTGTACACTGTCGTGTTCTTCAGACCTCCTGCCAGTGTTCTGACTCCAGCTCGACCAAATGACCTCCAAAAGCCCCGAAACTCGTGCCTATCCTTCCCTTCAACGTCTGGGACATGAGATGTGACAAGTAGCATAAACCAACATAAAATAGGCAAAAAATGCACGACTACGAGTCGCATACGGATAAGAATTAAGGGTGCAAACATGTGCAAATACACCATTATCATTTACATAAAGAGTTATTTCGTGAACAACAGTTTATATACCTTGTCCTTTTTCTGTTAAAAAAAAAGTTTATATACCTTGTTACATGAGATTTTTTTAATGGCTTATGTCAAAATTTTTAATTTCCTGGGCTATTTAGGGTTAATGACAGAAATATTGTTTTTTTTAATTTACCACGAATATGGCCAATTAAAAACTATTGACAAGATATTGTGTTTTAGAGATAAGAATCGGCGGGTACACCTGAGACTCAGGCGCTGCCACTTAAGACTTGGTTTTTGGACCGTTTTATTAGACTCAGGCGGTGGCGCCCGAGACTCAGGCGGCGGCGCCTGAGACTGAAGCGAGTAGGTGGGAAATCAAGACTCCGGCGGTGGCGCCCGAGACTGAGGCGAGTAGGTGGATTGGCCACCCACCCTATAAAACCCAGACAGACTTTTCGTTTCAGATTCACACCACAAAAAAAATCGTCCAAATTAGAGGAGAGAGCTCTGGTTGCTGCTGCAAAAATGGCTAATAGGTAAGAGACACATTTATTTTTGTAATTATATTATTCAAATGCTATTATGATTGTGTTTAGTTTTTAATTAGTGAGTTTGTTTTTTTGTAGTGATTTTAGAAGATTTGAACTAGTTGTTCGGTGGAAATCGGAGAAAGTAGAGGATAATTTGGGCGTCAAATTCGTTGGTGGTAGTAGTTTTCAGTTGACGGTTCCATCCAGAGTCACATATCACAAACTTTGTGAGACTCTAATTCCGAGAATACGGCGCAGAGACGAAGCAGTAAAAGATAGTGATGTGATCACAGGTTTCACTTACCGTCTTCCAGAATGGCAGAATGATGTTTTATTTCATTATGCGTTACCTATTGTGGATGATGATAGCTTGGATGTGCTTTGGAATTTTATGGCACAAAATCCTTATTGTTTGGGTGCTGAGATACATGTTGAGCTCAGTGATGATCAGGGTGGAGAGGAAGAAGATGATACATGGAGCGTGCCATCCGATCATGACTATGATCACGGTGATGACGGAGAGGAGGAAGATGAGGAGGAGGAGGAGGAGGAGGAGGAGGAGGAGGAGGAGGAAGGAGAGCAGCTTAATTATCCTCCATATTTTTACTTGCAGGGCAATGAAGAGGATGAAGAATTTGCACTTGCTGATTCATATGGCGTAATTCCAATGCCTATTGTTGATAGTTTTGAAGGAGAATTCTACAAGGGGCAGATATTTCACTCGAAACAAGCTGCACAGATGGCGATTAAACACCACGCACTACAACGCAACTTTCAATATGGCGTGGTGGAGTCGTCACCTTCAATATGGAAGGTCAGATGCTTGAGGCACAAGGATAACAATTGTCCTTGGATGGTGCGGTTTGGATGTCGAGATGTTGGGGGCGAATGGACTGTGAGAAAAGCTGAGTTGGTGCATTCTTGTAGCAGTACGACTCAACCGAAGGATCATCGCCATCTTGATGTCGACATGATATCTGAGGCCGTCAAACATTTGGTACGTGCCCAACCAAATCTGAGTGTTCTAACTGTTCAAGCCGAGTTGAAAGATAAGTTTAATATGCAAGTTACTTACAAGAAGGCTTGGTATGGGAAACAAAGAGCATTGGAGAAGTTGCATGGAAATTGGGAAGAATACTACGATTTTTTGCAAACATTCTTGCGGGTGGTCAAGAGAAAAATGCCAACATCGGTGATTGATTGGGTAACAGTTCCTTCGACTCAACCCGATCATTTAATATTTCAGCGAGTATTCTGGGCTTATGGACCTTGTATAGATGGATTCAAGAATTGTCCAGGCGTCATGGTTGTGGATGGAACATTTCTTACTGGGAAGTATAAAGGAGTGCTACTCATGGCGAGCTCATTTGATGGCCGGAGGAAGATTTTTCCAATTGCATTTGCCATAGTGGAGAGCGAGAATACTGAGAGTTGGCCATGGTTCATGAGGAAGGTTCAGGGTTTGACTGATCGAAATGATGTATGCATCATCTCAGATAGACATGCAGGACTCTATGAAGCCATGAATAACATCGGAAGAGGTTGGGAGTGGAGGTGGTGCATGCGACACTATGCAAGCAATTTGCAAAGGAAGACTCGAAGCAAAATTATGTATAATCAACTATTTCGAGTCGGTAAGCTTTCTTCATTTAATTTTGTTATTTGTTTTCGTGTAATTTTGTCATGAATTTATCTAACACGTGTTGTGGTTTATTTTGTTAGCCGGAGAAAAACGGTTGGAGAAGTTTGATCGTCAAGTTGAGCAATTTAAGAAGGTGGCCGCTGATAGAAATATTTCATGTGATAACTGGGTGGATCAACATCAGATTCGTTGGAGTTTAGCACATGATAACTACAATGGTGGGGGTCGTTGGTCTATCCTGACATCCAACATGGCAGAAAGCGTCAATGGTATTTTCAAAGGTATTCGTGCACTTCCGATAGCTTCTCTTGTGCAGCATACCTATTGGCGATTGGTGGAGAAATTCGATATGTATAGGTTGGAGACAGGAGCAGAAATTAGAAGTGGCGGTTCACAGTACTCCACCAAGTGCGAAGAGCTGATGAAGTACAGGTCACAAAAGGCAATTGGACATTCTGTGACAGCTCTTGATCGAGGTCAAGGCATCTATGTAGTTCAGACTCCTCCCAACAATTTCAACATGACAGGGTCAAACACACTCACAGTTCACTTTGACGATCAAAACCGGGCAGGATTTTGCACTTGTGGTAAATTTCAAGGAAATAAAATTCCTTGCTCTCATGCCATTACAGCTTGCAACCGAATGGGGGCTAATGCGTATAGGTTTGTCAACAATGTCTACAAGCTGGAAACAGTGATGGCTTGTTATGGGACAAGTTTCGCACCTCTTGGTGAACCTAAGGGTTGGAAGAAACATAATGGTCCTATTCTCCATCCTAATGTGCACATGATTAGGAAGCCGGGGAGGCCACGAGTTACAAGGATCCACAACGAGATGGACTGGCCAAGGGAGGGTGCATCACACCAAGTGTGCAGCAACTGTAACCAAGCGGGACATAATGCATCAACTTGCGGTGGCCAAGCTAGTAGGAGTGGGAGCAACCGAGGAGGGAGTGGTAGCCAACGAAGTACGAGAGGTGGTAGAAGAGGAAGTAGAGGTAATAGACGTGGCTGAGAGGTGGTAGAAGTTGTTATATTTCTTTTGATTTACCATGTAAAAGTTGTTGTTTGTTTGAGATGTTGTTGTTTGGTATGTTGTTGTTATCTTTTGATTTACCATGTAAAAGTTGTTTGTTTGAGATGTTGTTTGTTTGAGATGTTGTTGTTTGAGATGTTGTTGTTTGTTTATAGTACATAATAATAACAATCCAAAAATAATAGTCTAAATGAAGTACATAATAATAACAATCCAAAAATAATAGTCTGAAGGAAGTACATAATAATAACAATCCAAAAATAAACGTCTGAAGGAAGTACATAATAATAATAGTCTCACTGACGATCACCACGACGACCACCACGACGACCACCATGCTCCACCGCTAGATGGCCGCCAGTACCACACCTAGCAGGCACCCTGATGCGCACTGGTCTACCATCATACTCCTGGGGCTCATCTTCCTCAACTCCACCATCCTGATCCTGTGTACCGAACATCTCATCCTGCTGAGACTGAATATGCTCATCAGGCTGACCGCCACCACTACGATGAGACTGAAGATGCTGCTCATGGATCCACATCGTCTCCCTAAACACCTCATCACCCTCGGCCCACAGGTCGGGAGTCGTCGCTGCTCTAGTATCACCACCTGATGCCATGTTTCCCATCGTAGCATGTTGCGGTGTATGGAAGCTATCCTCTGGCTGATAGAAGCTCGATGACGGATCTGACTGAAACTGCTATCGTCGCGGCGGCTGAAAGCTCGAAGACGGATCTGACTGAAACTCGTGTCGTCGCGGCGGCTGAAAGCTCGAGGAAGGATCTGACTGAAACTGCGTCCGAGGCGGATTAAACTGGAAGCTCCTCGATGTAGGCTGGATGGGCTGTGCTCGCTGTCGATCGGAAACCCGAAATGGGTTAGCTGCATCACGATGCTCACGTCGCTGTCTACGTGGCCTATGCTCCTGTCTGAACTGTGGCTCTGGGACGACCCAGCCCGGTGTCGGATCAGTACGCTCTGGCCAGGCAGTCATGACGGGCCCCTCATGATGGCGCTGTACAGGTACTGTGAGATCAGGGTATCTACGATCCTCAAACCCTAGAGCAGCAACCCCGGATGCCATAAAGTTGGCCAAGTCCTCACACTGGTCAGGGGTCAGCCCTCCAGACCGTACACCGTCACGCAAACTCACCTCAGCATGCTCGATAGTGTCGTACTAAAAAACACCAACAAAAATGTCAGATATTTCACACAATTAACAACAAATTAAGCAAATAAATCAAATAACTAACCAACGCCTCTGCTGCAGCTCCTCTCCGTGTAGATGGAAGGTCGACGTCTCGGGGCGCCACCGCTCTACGAGCGCAGTTATCAAACTAGCATCGGGGTTCATAGGGACTAGGGGCACGACACTAAACAAGCCTGCCGCTTCGAGATATGGCCGATAAAGTTCATGGTAAGGTACTAAAATGGTCGTACCTCGAACATGGTACGGTCGATCACCAGCCTATAGTGCACAAAACTTATATTAATTCATTTTCATTCGTAATAATTCTAATTTCACCTAATAAATTCTAATCTGTCTTATCTAACATAAAATTATACTAATTTGAAATTATACTAATTTCACCTAACAGTTCAGTTCACTACCTAAAATAATCTAATTAGCTAATTAACTTTACATGAATAATTATCAAATACTTACCTCGTTTGTCCAAACAGAGTCGATACGATGTTGGCCGTGTCCCCAAAGAAGTGTCGGATCGACCGGACTTGGATCAATTGTCGCCGGCGGTAATCTCATCGAATAAGGATCCATAAGCCTCGGAACTGCAAAACCAAAGCAACAAAACATTAAAAAAAACACAAAACATTAAAAAAAAAATCAAGTTGCCGACGAGAGTCTCACCGCGCAAACGGCCGCCGACTCCACCACGACCTCGCCGACCTCTACCTCTGCCTCTGCCAGCGGCGACTGGTTCTTCGTCGGAGGACCTCTCGGGCGGCGCCGGTTCAGTCCAAGGCGGCGGCGCTCCTCTCTGCGCCTAAGTCTGGGGAGGTGCTGCGGGCGGCGGGCGGCTGTTCGGGGTTGGGGTGGAGGAAGAAGAAGGAGGGAGGAGGAGGTTGGGTCTGGTTCGGGGTTGGGGGGAGGAAGAAGAAGGGAGGAATAATATGTGTGGTGGTGGGGAGGGGATAAGGTGGGAGGGCCCATCCAAATTTTTAAAAAAATTAGTCCGGGGCGCTCCCGCCTGAGTCTCGGGCGCCAGCGCCTCAGACTAATTAAAAAAATTTGTCTGAGGCGGGGCCGCTTGAGACTGGGGCGCCGGCGCCCAGGACTGGGTAAAAATTTAGTCCCGCCTGAGTCTCAGGTGGTCCCGCCCCAATCCTTACTAAAAACCACAATATCTTTGTAAATAGTTTTTAATTGGCCATATTCGTGGTAAATAAAAAAAAAAAACAATATTTCTGTCATTAATCCGGCTATTTACAAAACCTCATTATTTTGTCGTCCTACCAAACCCAATCCAATGTTCCTAATTTGGGATGGGAAGATCCAATGGTACATATCATTAATGGGCAAAGAGGGAAAATAGGATAGAGGGAGAGGCTAATTGGATTTTTCTGTCCGGCTTCCCAAATTTTGGGACGGTCCCATGCGAATTCCGAGGCGGCAGTCAAGGCCTTTTTCAAATTCCAATGAAAAATTCAATGGACCATAGCACATCGTTTTACGTCGAATTAAAAAAAATTGCTTAGAAAAATTAGATTTTTTGTGCTCTACAAAATTATATTCATTTTTATATCTTTTGGAGCAAATGTTTCAATGTCATATCATATCAGATAATATTAGTTCATATCAAGTTCATGTCATTCATATCAAGTTACTTTAACCGATAATTGTTTTGACTTTTGAAGAGTTCATTATTTTTTTATGGTTAAAGACACATTTGGTCACTGAGATTACTAAATCGGGACATGTTTAGTCACTAGAAAAACTTAATATCAATTTTAGTCACTCGAATTACTGAAACAGGTCACATTTAGTCACTCTCCGTTAGTCTCCGTCCAACTCCGTTAATGAAGTCCGTTAAGTGCTGATGTGGCAAACAGAATTGCCTAATCAGCGCCGTTTTGGGCCGTAAATGGTCAAACCCGACCCGCCACGTCACTAAACCCACCATGTCATACACCCAACCCATTAACCCTACCCACTAACCCAACCGTAGCCCAACCGTAGCCCACTTTAACAAAAAAAAATTGGAAAACCCTAGCTCCAACTCGTTCTCCTCTTCTTCACCGCCGCTTCCCCAATGAAACAAAAGTTTTTCATCATCAACCTCTCCTCTCTAGTTAATCAAGCTGAGCATACCAAACCCCCTGAATCCTCACATCCTTGAGGCGCCCAAATCGGTGTCCTACGGCTGAATGTTCTAAAAAATCCCCAATCACCTCCCCAGTCTCCGACTTGCTCTTGGTCACGCTCAATGTAATCTTCCCCTTCGACACCGCCGCGTTCTTGACATTCTCCTTCGCCAACTCTTCCTCATCCCCTCTCCCGCCGGGGGCAACGCCACCGCGTTGTCATAACCCTGGGACCCGCCTCTGCCCTTTGGGTCCAAGAACGACGACCCTCTGTACCTGGGAACCAAAAACTCGCAGCTGAAGCTCTCTGGTTTTCCAGAAGCAACGAGCTGCTTCACCGTGAAGAGGAAAGGGACCCTCCCGCCTCCGGGGAGCTGGACGGTGAGGACGGCGTAGTCGATGCCATCTTTCTCCTTGAATTTCACGATGCCTTCGGGGGAGACCTCGAAGGGGCCTTCTAATCGTGATGATCTTGCAATTGCTGCTGATGTTGTTTCATTGGGGAAGACGGCGGTGAAGTGGAGGAGAATGAGTTGGAGCTTTTTCAATTTTGTTTTGTTAAGTGGGCTAGAGTTGGGTTGGTGGGTAGGGTTAGTGGGTTGGGTGTATGACATGGCTGGTTTAGTGACGTGGTAGGTCGGGTTTGACCATTTTTGGTCCAAAACGACGCTTACTAGGCGCTCTCATTAGCCACGTCAGCACATAACGGACTTTATTAACGGAGTTGGACGGAGACTAACGAAGAGTGACTAAATGTAACTTGTTTCAGTAATTCAAGTGACTAAAATTGATATTAATTTTTTCTAGTGACTAAACATGTCCCGATTTAGTAATCTTAGTGACCAAATGTGTCTTTAACCTTTATTTTTTTTTTCAAAATATAGCAAAATGGATATCAATGTGTAGATCATAATTAATGCACTCTTTTTATGCAAAAAATTTGAATTCTTAGTTAAAACAAATGCAGTAAGATCAAATTAAGAAAAATAGGGGACTAATAAAAGTTGCTTATACCTCCTCTCAATTCGTGTCAGGGTGTCAGCAAAAAAGAAAACTCACGGGTGGCAAAATAACCAATCCGCTCCTCCTTTTTCCAGATTAATGTGGGCCATCAATCTGCCACGATCAGACATATGGGGTTTAAATTTCTGAAGGGTTAAAGGTCGTCCTAAAAATTACTAATCGTCGTCCTAACTTAATACGTAAATTACTTAATTACCCTTTTTAAAATTAAAACACAAACCCTAGCCAAACACTCCCCTTCCTCCACTTCGCATACTTCCCCTTCCTCCACTTCCCTTCCCCCGTCCACCAACAGCCGCCGACCTCCCCGTCAGTCACCCGCCGCCGGTTTGACCATCGCCCAGCCGCAGAGAGACCACGGCGGGTCGTCGCCGTCAGTCACCCGCCGGCCCACCTCGCCCTTCCCCCGTCGTCGTGAGTCCTCGTCCGCCGTCGCCGTCGCAGCCCTCCTCCAGTGGCCTGCCGTCCCACGCCGCCACGCACTCGCAGTCGCCGTCGCCCAGCCGTCGCCGTCGCCGTCAGCCCTCCTCTCGCCTGCCGTCCGTGCTCGCCGGAGAAGAAGGTAAGCTCCGTTCGTTCCGCAGCGCCCTTCACCGAACGAAGACTTCGGTTTGACCATGGCTCAACCGAATGTTGACTTCGATTTGACCATGGTCAAACCGAAGTCAATTTTCGGTTTGGTTGATTTTTAAATAATTTTAATTCAATTAATTAATAAAAATTGTTATTAAATATTGTGAATTATGTAATAATTAGAAATAATTGTAGTTAATTATAAATAAGTTGTACGGTTTATAATTTATTATAAAAATTAAATTCGAATATTTTTATGAATTCAATTATGAAAAAAATATTGTGAATAATGTAATAAAAATTATTAAAAATTATCTGAAATTTATAAAAAGTATCAAAATTTAGAAATATAATCTATAAATTTGTAATTAATGTTACAAAAATATTAGAATAATGGGAAAATTAAAAAGTAGTTGAAATTAGACAAAAAGACTAAGAAATTTGTAATTAATGTTAATAATAAATTATCAAAAAGTTATAAAAAATTAGAGAAAATTATCAGAAAATGTTAATGCATTTGATTATCATTAATTGTAAATCTTTTTTTTTTTTGAAGATGTCTGGACATGGAATAGGCAAGCCGTACATGAATAAGAAAAGAATGGAAGAAAAAACGGAAGGAAGAATGGAAGGTCGTGCTTGTAGACTTACAGCGACCGGTAGAAAAGAAAATGAAGAAAAAAATCCACGTAAGGTTAAGGGGAAGAAGAAGAAGGCGGAAATAGTGCGTCCCGACGGTCGCCCTACTATGGGACAGTTATCTCTTAGTCGAGGTACTACCTCCACCCCTACTCCTGAGGATGCGACGCCGTGGGAGGCTAATTGGAGTGATTCAGTTTCTATGGACGACGACGACGATGATGATAATGATGATGATGATGTGGCTGTTGATGAGGTTGGGGATGCCCCACCTGAATCTGATGTAGGCGTATTATACATCTAATCTTAATTTTGTATACAAAAACAATCAATTTCACAAATAATTAGGCTCATAAATTTTAAAAATAATATAAACTAAAAATCAATAAACAATCTTATAGACCAAACTATAAATGATAACAATAAAATAGAAATATTTGATATAAACTTAAAAAACCCAAAAACCACCAATAGAAGCAAATTTTCGGTTCAACCATGGCTAAACCTAACCAAATTTTCGGTTTCACCATGGCCAAACCGAAATACAGGTTCGGTGCCACCGTGGACCAACCGAAACTAATTTTCTTTTCACCCATGGCATAAACGAAGCAGAATTTCGGTTCATCCATGGCTCAACCGAATGTGATTTTCGGTTGGTCCATGGTTCAACTGATTCGGTCGAGATTTTTTTTTTTTAAAACGAGATTTTTACCTCGTCGGAGTCGCTACTCATTGTTCGGACGTATGCTCGACGATTTCGGCTTCCAAATGTCGATGATGAATTCGAGAGTGTGGGAGAATGAGTGTTTTTTGTTTTCTAAGTGAATGTGGTGTTTGTTTGCTAAAGGAAAGGTAAAGATGTCAAAAGGTTAAAAGTGTAACTTTGTTGTTTTTTAGGACGATCATTAGTAATTATTAGGACGACCTTTATCAACTCCCTTAAATTTTGTAGACTTTTGTAGCTTTTGGTTTGTACTGTATGTAACCCTTTCCATTTTTAATACTAATTACCTAAAATACTATCTTTTACATGAGACTTGTGCAACTTGGGTTATGTAGCAAAGAAATGGGTTATTTATGCAGGACATGTTATAATTATAAAGTGGATGGCAAGTAATGTTGCAAGGTGGAGGGTTTTGGACATGTGTAATTATACTATGTAATCGAATGGTGAATCTCAATCTAACTTCGTGTTTGGTGAAGAAACATATCGAATAACATTTTGGAGTTATTTATGCATGGGAATAAGAAAAAGATTGAATAAGATTTTAAAGTGCAAAGGACTAAGATTATTATGGAGTTGCATGATGCTGAGAAACCAATCCAAAATCGTGGCAGAAGAGGACATCCTCCTTCCCTTCTCCTACAAATTGAGGTAATGGGGTAAAAATCACATGAACGAGAGTAAAAATTACAGTGAATATATAGTTTGAAAGATATTTAAAGATGAGAATAAACACATCTCCAATAATTAATGGAAGTGACTTGGATGAGGTAAATTTATTTTGCGTGAACGTGATAATGATGTTTCATATTTGCATTAGTTTTGCCTTCAAATTTGCCTTCAAATTTGCTAAATAATTTGTGATTATAAAATTTTTATAGGATTTGACTCTTTTGCATCATTGCATGGGTTAAAATGTTGAGAAAACTCTAATGGTGTAGGTTCCTTTTCAAGATTTTTAGTGATTGAATAATTACTACTTTTTTGTATCAATATGTCATTGATAAAATGTATCCGTTTTTTAGAGTATAGATGAGAGTTTGAGCCTCATAATCATATCTCATACCTGGTAATCAAATACAAATTAAGTGAAAACAAAGAAAATAATATATATGTAATTAGTCCGACCTTGCCTCTCTTCAATTAAGGAATTCCCCACAATCATGAGAGGGGGAATATCGATAAATATTATAATAAATAAAATAAAAGTATAAACAACCCTCCAAAGAACAAAAGTAAAATATTTTCATCAACGAAAATGATGAAATGCATCATAAACCAATCATGGTGATGAGAAGAAGAAGAAAAATGTTTGTTCAAAATGAGGAAGAAACAAAAGCAAGAGTGATGTCTCTCTCTCTCCCTACCCTCTAAACAGCCATCACCACTTTGATCATCAGAACAGACAGTTTCTAGGGTTCGTTTGGGCTCCCTGTCACCCCTTGTAATAATTCTTTTTAAACAAAAAACAATTTAAACTCCCTTTACAAACCCTAATTCCCATATTTACCTCCATAAATTACCTTGAAAATTAGCCATTCACCAAGTGCATAATTTCCTTTTTCTTTTGCTTCTTCTTCCGGTTACGGAACCCCTTTTTTTGTCGTTTCCCTCTAAATTACCTTTCGCCACCTAAAGTTTTGCATTTCTTCCCCTGTGTCGCCTCAAATATAATGTGTGTTCCTTTTTCAAGAAGTTAAAAATAGGATTGGCTATCAACAGAGCTGGAGTGTTGTCGACCACCGTGCTTATTTCCATTAGCTCCATTCTTCTTCTTCTTTCCACCTCCGCCGCATGTGATGGTGATCTCGCAGCCGCATGCATTCCCGAAGCAGGAGAATAACCTCGTGCCTTCCGACTTCCGCCGCTGGTGGTTCCCCTTCCTCCTGCTCCTGGATTGCATCTTCTTGACGTCGGTGTCGTAGATCGGCGGAAGCTCCGTCCTCCACCTCTCCAGCTTCGTCCTCAGCCCTTCTACACTGTCGTTTTCCGTCCAATCCTCCAGCACCGAGCTCCCCGCATCCCCGTGGCCAGCTGGCGGCTTGATCAACCCCTGCGCAATCGCTGCCGCCACCACCGATGCCGACGGCCCCACGTCCGAGCACTGGGACCCACCGTTCACCATGCTCCCGTTACCATTGCCATTATTATTATTATTATTATTATAATTATGGTGATTGTTATGGTCCTTATTTCTGGGTAGAATGGAGGAGTTGACCAAGGAGCCACCACCGCCACCAGTGCTGGGCCCCACCATAGAGCTGCTGCCGTAGCCGCGGGCGCGGGGGGCATTGGTGTCGTGATCTGTGGAGGTAAGGTCGGTGCGGTCGCTCTTGGTGCGGCGGAGCCTGGCGGTCTTCTCCTCGAGATTCTTTGCCCCCGCAGAGGCCTTGGCGTCGATAAGGTCGTTGAGGCCAACGCCCGATGCGGAGAGCTCGGTGTAGAGCGGCATGGAGCGCATAGTGTTGTCAAGGAGCTGCACCCCCATATTGAGGATCCCCTGGGGGCGACCGGAGGGACGTCGGATCTGGAGCGCAACGAACCGCATCTTGGCATTGTTGTTGTTGTGGTTGTTATGGTTGCCAGAGGGGAAGAGGTTGCTGATGAGGACGCGGACGGAGCCGATCTGAACGTCGCGGAGCCAGGCGGCGGCGTAGATCTCGATCATGACGGAGGAGGTGTCAGCATTGAGGAAGGTTTCGTCGACGCGGAAGACGAACTTCTCGTTCCATTGGGGGTTGGTGTTGCCTCCCTGGTCGACCTTGGTGCTCAGCTTGCGCTCCGGGTGGACCCAAACCACCGCGTACGTCTTCATTGACTTCGACACGGGCGCCAGGTCCTGCGCCGAGATCACGTTGATCTCCAGCAGCTGGAACGGATGGGTGTTGTATGTCATCGTGGTCACTGGCCTTCTTGCTGCTGATGTAAAGATTGTTTGAGGAGGCGAAGAGCGATATTATTGCGAGGGTGATGGTGGTGGTGGGCGGTGACGGGGGAGATTAGGAGCTCAAGGTCAGGGAGACTAAAGCTCTCTCGTTTTTTCCCCGCTCACCGCGCAAGAGGCTGGAGGGGGCACAACGAGGTGGACATAAATGGATGGGGAGGGAGGGAGGGTGAGAATAAGAGATTAAGACTAATTTAGGGATTAGCCAAATGAAGGGTGCCGGGGAGGAAGGGGTGAAGGGTTATTATTGATCAAAGATGCCTAATTATAATCATTAACGGGGAAGGTGAGGAAGTTAGTTACTACGTACGTGGTTTAATTCGCGGGTTTGACTCCTCTCCAGCCGTGGAGTTATATACCTGAAAATTGAAATTACATTGTACACATATATACAATACACATTGGTACTCGCCATAATTTGATCCATCCAATTATGGATGTTATGATATTAATTAATACTAGTTACGTTCAACTCAATAAGAGAATTTTTTTTTATTAATTTTATGTTGAAGCCCGGATACTTCACTCTTCCAAGCGCACCCTAACCGCCGCACCACAGGCGCTCAGACCCTGCAAAACTAACGCCTAGAGGGCTGGAGCCACTCGTTAGCACTCCAACGATCAAGTCAGTGCTAGTTCTAGAGAGATAAGTGAGGAAGTAGAACTTTAGTGAGAGAAACCGACCTCAGTAAATGCCACCTACCGAGTGCTATTTATACTACTCGAGCTCCTCGACCAGGCTCCGACCAACTCCTACCACCAAGCCTTACGTCAGCTAAGGCATTTAATGCTTAGTCTGGTCCAACGTCCGAGCGCCTCCACGTGGCGCATCATCAGGCTCGGGTGTCAGGGCGCATGGGGGGACCATCCGCCTACGTGGTGCTTTTCTGATCCTCCTCAGCCGTACTTCTTTGTCCACGAGCCTATTTTGTCGCCATGCGCCCCTTTACCGTTGGTCCCCCCAAGTCATGTCTCAATGGGCCATTAATGGGCTCAAAGCCCATCAGGCTTTGGGCTTATATGGGCTCATCCATGTTTCCCCAACAATTGCCCCCCAGTTAGGTGCTCATAAGTGAGCGCCTAACTATGAAAGAATTGATTTGGTGCATGGGCTCCGTTAAGGTAGTCGTTCACCATTCTTCTTTATCAGAGGTTTTAGCAGGCGCCCGGCGTTACCTTGCCCCCCACCATGCGTCCATTGGCCTCTATCCATGCTTGTGAGTATTTACCCGCTCTTATGAAAACAAGGAGAAATATACGCCCATTTGCGATCCCTCGCCTTACTGAATTCAGTCAGGCGCATGTATTCATTTTCTATTTAGTCTTCGCACTTCCGACGGTTTCAACGCACCTGCTGTGGCATATGCGCCCGCTTCACACCCCTCGTGTTTCGCCCTATGACCCGTTGATTCCCTTCGGGCAAGGTAAAACAATTGGAATGAGGCGCTTGGCCGCTCTTCCTAATCAAAGGTTTAAGCAGGCGCCCAGCGCCACCTTGCCCCCCCACACCATGCGTCCGTTGGCCTCTATCCATGCTTGTGAATATTTACCCGATCTTATGAGAGCAAGGAAAGATAGACGCCCGTTTGCGATCTCTCGCCTTATTGGATTCAGTCAGGCGCCTGCAGTCATTTCACACTTAGCCTTTGCGCCTCCGACGGTTTTAACGCACCTGTCGTGGCATGTGCGCCCGTTTCACCCCCTATGTGTTCCACCCTATGACCCGTTGATTTCCTTCGAGTAAGATAAAACAACCGGAAGGGGGGCGCGTGACCGTACCCCTCGCCCCCACTCGACGTTCGTTCAAATTTGGAATTTTGAAATTCAAAATTCGAATTTTGAACGAAGGGAGAGGATTGGCCCGTTTGGCGCGCGCGTATCTCGAGGTGACTCTCCATCTCCCTTCTCCTATAAATACACATCTTCCTCCCCTCACTATTTCATTCGCCCTAAACTCCTTTCTCTCTCTAGCTTCTCTCTCTAACCGATCCCCCCTCTCTCGCTCGCGCGCCGCAGGTTTCGCTCTCCCGTGCGCCAACCTGTGTCTTGCAATTATGTCTCAATCAGACTCCGGCGTGACCCATACCTCCATCGAGAAGGGCGGAAGCGCAGCGTCTAGCATACTCGATGTGCTCGAGAAGCACCTTTCCCCTGACCCGTTGCGAAATCAAGACCAACGGGGGCCTCGATCTCACAGGGAGGCGCCTAAGCAAACAAAATCTGCCCCTTTGATGCTCTAAAACACAACACCTAACAATGGCCAAGTGTAACCAATGAAAGGGACTGCAGTATAGTGGCACAAGTAATAAATATCGAATCCACGGGTCTCTAGAGTTACTATTACTCAGCTTCAGTTCATTATCTAGCAAACTAGATTAAGGATTGATTAACTAAACTACTCTACTAACTAAACTAAGTAAAACTACTAATTACAGTTTGGGAACTCACTTAGGTATGATTCCCCCTAGCTCCTCAATTAGGTCCAAGTTGTAATTCATTTTGGTTGATTTACTGTTGATTAAACTGCGGAAGATCCGACAGTAGCTTGGAATCTCTTAAGCTGACCAAGCCCTCTCAGTCTAACTATCCGGCAGACGACTAGTCTTCACCGGGATAGAAAGCTGAAGCAATAAGCACAGAACTCCACTACTGGAATTGGATTCCAGTACAAAGCAGTAAACTGGCTAACTCTCGTATAGCCAATCTCCTACTACCGAATGATGAGACTCTAGCAACCTAATCAGATTCTATCTATCTCAGATTGCAGCAGGAATCAGGAAAAGTTGATCAGACTTCAATTGACTCAATAAACATGCATCATTCGATTATAATCAAACAATATAGCATCCAAAACTTCATACAAGAAAGATCCTAACTCATGGAACTAAGGTTCCTCAAAACCTAAGTGAAGGGAAGTTACTCCATAGAGAAGAGAGAGACTGCAGAAATCTGATCTAGATCTTCAATCTCCATCTCCAAGCTTGATTCCCGAGCTCCAATGGCGAAGAAATCCTCCAAAATAGCTCCAAGAAAGTTTCCAAGTCGCTCTCTCTCTCTAGGGTTCGTCCCTTGGGTGTTTGGGATCCAAAACCCAGCTCTCTCTCTCCTTTGGCTCGAATTTGGGTTAAAAACAGCCATTCCCGACTCGCACGGCCAGGGTGCACGGCCGTGCACATCACCATTCTGGCCGTGCACCTCAAAACGCGGCGTATCAATTAGTTGAACCTCAGCCAACTCGCACGGCCAGAATTGTATGTTGCACGGCCGTGCGTGGCCACGCACAATCCCGTGCGTGCCCACGCACAATCCCGTGCGTGCCCACGCACAATCCCGCACGGCCAAACTGGTCACTTGCACGGCCGTGCGTGGCCACGCCGGTCTGCCCGTGCAGCTTGCTCAGCCTCTGTTTAATGCTTCGTTTCTCCCTCGTCCGGACTCCGAATCAATCGCCGTTTGATCCCAGACGCTCGTAGTCTCGTCCTCTTTCGTTTCATAACAAGCTTGCATGATTCTTTGTCCATAAAGTGAGGTAGAAATCCATTCTTCTTCAGGTCATGCCCGAGTTTCTTCTCTTGAATCGTCAATTGATCTCTGATTGACTTGAAACTTGCGCCTATGCTTCACTTTATGTGCTAGGACCTGAAATGGGACAAAGGAACACAACCTAGCATAAAATAGGCCAAAGACGCAATAATTCAAGCTCAAACAATCAAGAAACAAAGGGGAAAACATGTGCAAATACCGAGTCATCACCCTTCCTCTTCTGCGCCCACCGGCGCGGAGGCGCCTTTAGCGGCGGCCTCCACAGCACCCACAACTACCACTACAGCGCCCTCCACGCTTTTTGAATTTTCAATGTATGTTGATTCTCTGGTAGGCGCCCACAAGAGGTCTTAGGTCCTCCGTATTGACCAAGGGCGCTTCGATCACTTATAGGCTCTGCGCCTACCTCCTCGAAGTCAAGTGATTTGGCTGTTTCTCCGGCATCCACCGATTCGGGCGCCCCTGAAGATGGGTCGTTCAAGATAGTGGACTGGGAAGATACATGGCCGCAAGGGGAGGCGCCCGACAGTACAAGTAAACTGTCCGTTCGGCGTGCCAGGCCGAAACACTCGTCCACCATCAAGTTCGCGGAAATGCATCGATTGATTACCTCCTGCAACCTCCCTCGCACATGGTCCTATGCGCATGCGTCTCCAATTGCCAGGATAGGAGCAATTGGCCCACGGTGGCTCGGTATATATAGGGAGTACTTTAAATTCGGGCTGCGCTTCCCCCTGGATTCGATTTTGGAAGGGATCCTCACCACATGCGCCTGTTCTCTCGGGCGCCTATCGCCGACGGTCTTTCTGATTCACATCCTATTCAAGCTAAAGTGTCGGCAGAACAACATCACACCTACGTTTAAGCTTTTTTGGTACTTCTTCACTATGACCAGCAGTGACAACTGCTTGTCCCTTCAGAGGCGCCTGGATATCCCGGGACACTTTGTAGAAGATTGCCCAAAGTTGGGGCGCAAGTGGTATAGGGGCTATTTTTTCATTAAGCCGCGAGCGGAATTGTTTTATGAGAGTGGTGAACGCTTCATCCGGGCTTGGAAAATTGGTAATACCACACACTTCAATATTGACGTGGAATTATCCACCACGGAAAAAGAGCACGCGCGCCTAATATCTGAGAACCCCGTGAATCTTAGTTCGACAGCCGCTAGAACTCCTGTCTTACATGAGTACTATGCCGACGGTAGGTAGGCGCTTAGTAGCGCTTTTATGTTGTTACAAATTTGGATGCGCCCATATTTTTCTTCCACATGCATAACAGTCATCATGTCTTTACTTAACCATGTGTACCCCCTTGCAGGTGTGGACTTCACTACCATCGCCTCATTGATGAAGACCCAACTTGAGGGTCTGGGTCTGGACTACCAGGAACCCAAGGTCAGTGGTAAGGCGCCCTCGCGCCCATGGCGAGGTTCTTCGAAGAAAGGGAAGAACAAATCCTCATCCTCCGGGGCTAAGGGTGATGCGCCTGTCGCAGCACCCACGGGAAAGGGGCGCATCAAACAACAAAAGGCAGCAAGCGCCCCTCTAGTGGAGGAAGAGATTGTGCCTACCTTCGTGCAACCCAACGAAGAGGCGCTTGCTGTCGACATTCCTTCTGATCCCGAGCTGGATGTCGATGATCTCCCACTTGCGCAAAAGCTGAAGCGAAAGCTGGCTGAGGATGATACCCGGGCGCAGAGCAAGAAGCAGCGCACAAGCGCAGAGGAGCGAGTCCCGGAGTTCATCAAGAAATGGCTACAACCCCCCAAGCACAGAGTCAACATT